TTGGTTTAGTTAAGTTTGGAAATTCCGCGAGTATATCTTGGAATTTCGCTGTTGTTACTGGAGGGGTTTGGATCAAGTTAAGAGAGCTGATGTGACTTTCTTTGCCTTTTGTGTAATACGAAGTTTCTTTTAGTGTTAATCGCCGTTTCTTGGTGTCAACTAGAAATTCGTATCTCTCTAGAAAGTCCATCCCCAGTTTTGCCAGATCTAGGTCGGCTACCGTGAAAACCCAAGGGAATTGCCTCCTGAACCCCAAATCTAGGGTTAAAGTTTTCTGCCCAAATGTCGCAATTTTAGTTTTATTTGCAGCTTGAAGTGTAATTGATGATGTTTCTCGTCCAATCTCAGTTTTATTTTGAGGGATGATGCTAAGAGCAGCGCCAGTATCCACCAAGAAATTCAAGCCAGAGTTTCTGTCTCTAACATAAAACAAGCGACTGTTTAGGCGCCCCTCCTCAGTCGTCGCGACCTGGGGAGGGGTTACTCGTTTCCCGCTGACTTAGAATTATGCTTAGGTCAGGCGCATGGTTGCATGCACTTGGTTGAGTTGACACCAAACTTCCAGTGGTACCAACAAAACTGCCCAGATTGTCTGGACATTTGTGACCTGTTTTGTGACTTGGATCGTGGTCGTTGTGGTGACCTGCTCCTGTTTCTATGACCCATTTGCATTCTGGTGACGGCCTCAGTGAGACTCTTAACACTCGCAATGAGTCCTTCTATGACGGGGTCTTTTGCTGATTCTACTTTTTGTGTGTGATTTATTGTGCCTGATCCAGTTGGAGGACCTCTTTCCATTATTCTGTCGGCTATACGCGCTAAATGAGATAATGAGGTTTCAGGATCTTGTGCATCCAAACAGTGTTGGACGTAGCATGGGAGAGCTTGTATCCATCCTTGTTTTAGGACTGCTTCACCCACTGTGTTATCACCAACTAAGACTAGGAGGTGCCGTAAAAACTGTGACGGCGACCGATCACCTAGTGTTTCACCTTGAAAAAGTCTTTGGATTCTTTGACTATCTGATAATGATAAACGGTTCATTATCTCTCGTCTTGAGATGGTGTATGGTTGTGGTGATGGTGGACTTAAAATCAAGTCACGGACTTCTTTGGCGACTGAAGGAGGAAGGATAGAACACAAGTCTCTATAGCAAATCCCTTCAGATTTGATATTGTGTCTCGTGAAATAATGCTCTAGTTGAGCAAACCACAACTCAGGATCACTACGATCAAATTCTGGAAGTCGGGATTTCGTAATCATAACAGTGTCTATCTCCACTGGTGACAAATCCTCCAGACTATGGGTTTCTATTGAGTCTGACATGAGGTATGTGACAAATATAGCAATAAAGTTAGCACAAAAAGTGGTTACTATAACACGAATAACTTAGGATAATACGTAATAAACTAGTTATATACTCAAATTAGTTTACGGATAATCAGGTCTACTTTTACGATTAAGTAAAAAAAATGTAAATAACAGAAATGAGGTTAAATTTGTGTTCAAAAAGGGCTCACCAATTTCGTGCCTTAAGGTAACCCTCGTGCTATTGATAGAAGAAAGCAGAGAAGAAGTGAATAGGTCTTTATTTCGATCTTCGCGCAGTCACAGTGGAGCATGGGATTATCTGTTCAGACAAACAAAGGCTCTCAACATTCAAGATAATAGGGAATATAACGCTTATAAAAAAATAAGGAAGTGAATGAATACTTGAACAATACTGTTTTGGCATAAGCTTGGTTGTTTGGGGTCAACTCTTAACCAACCAACCTGAGCTGTTACAGTTTCATAAGATGTGCACCCGATTTGGCCCCACTGCATATAAAAGGTGCTCAAAGCCCAACTCTCAGTGGCTTTGTAGTTCTTGTTGCTCGAGCAAAACATTACTCATCCAGGAAGCAATTAGTCTCCTGGTGTTGGCTAATAAGAAGGTTGATGAGGGCTGTACTGGTAATATTGGTACTGGTGGCGAAGATTGCGTTGATGTCGTAAGTGCTGTCACGGCACAAGCCAGACATCTAACTGTGCAACCCGCTACTAAACCCTCGACCCCGAAACAGTCAATGGGTGACACCTCATTAGATATCGATAGCCATGCTGCTACAGCAGCAACCGGTGACCCAGATAAAACAATTACTGTCCTGAGTGGTTCTAATGTGGATGCTACGACTGATGGAATATGGATGACACGGAAACGCATAAGAGTAGGAAAGACAGCTAAAACTAGTGACCGTTTACTTGATAAGTCATTGGTGGACTCTCAGACCACTCCGCCAAAGTCCAAACTTATACCCTCGTCATAGAGAGAGATATATTTAGTATTGAAAAATGCACAAAAAACCCGTGATTGAAATATTCCTATCCGACCAAATTGGCCGCTTGAGGATCGAATCAAGTGAAAGAATGCGCTTACTGAGTTAAGAACTCGCAAGTGAATGGCGAAACCAACCTTACCATTAAGGATTTTCGGGCAGTCAAGTCTTGGAAGCCAATGCTTCCGAGGCCTGTGTGGGTAGAACGATTGATTGCCAAAACGCCTTAAGTGTGTGCTACACGAACATCCGTAGTCTGAGAAATAAAGCGTACGACCTAAGTCTGATGGTGAACGAATTACGCCCCAATGTAATTGTTGTTACAGAAACTTGGTTCACCGTAGATATAGAATGTTCTCCGTCCATTGCAGGCTATATCTGTATTAGAAGTGATAGAGTTTCAAGTCGCAAGTGGGGAGGCATAATTTTACACATTAGGGATCACTTTTGTATACAATCAACCATATCTAGGGCTCATATCAGTGGCAAATATGAGGTTGCATGTTGTAAGATTAAATCTAGAAATGGGTTAGTGACTATAGGGGAAATATACCGTAGTCCGTTTTGTCTGGCTGACGACTTTATCCTAAGACACATCTATTACTGGAGTATGCCAGAATGTCGTCTCATCATTGGGGATTTCAACGCACCGTACAACAAATGGTTAGAGCTTACAGCTCCTGGTTGAGGTTTTGATGGCGAACTTTTTTCTACCGTGTGCACTTGTACAATGTATCACAAAACCCACACATATTGATTTGCAACATGATCCATCGCTGCGGGACCTCGCCATCACCCACCACCGTGAGGATGTCTTTGATATTCAGCATTTTCCCCTACTAGTGGACAGTGATCACGTCGTAATTCACTTTAAGTTTGGGACACGCGGTATACGATTTGTATCTGCTCCACCCCGTCCCAATATCTGACGAGCAGATATTCCGGCAATCAGAAACTGTGCTATCTCGACTGATTGGTCGGTCGACGCGGATGGATTGATCGAAGATGAATGGAAAACGTTTAGGGCTACGTTCGAGTCCGTAACGTCGCCGTTTACCCCATGGTCAGCATGTAAGCTATCACATTGCCCTCCATGGATTAATAAGGAAACCCGGAAGCTGTTAAAGTGCAGAAAACATTTCTGGGACTTATTCTTGTTGACAGGTCATGCGTCATTTAAGCGTGAGTACCAAAAATTCCATAATATCTGTGAGAAAACCATAGCCAAATCCCGTACCACTTACGAACGACAGTTGGTATATAATGGCCGTACCTGTCCGAAACGATTGTTTTCGTATGTTAAACGGCGAATGAAACGTGGTGATTGTATTCCCCCGTTACTGTTACACGACATTCAGATTTACTAGCTGAATCAGATCGAGCAAAAGCTGAGACTTTTTCAAAGTATTTTAGCGAAGTTTACTCTACGTTTATCGTAACAAATACTTGTCCCACTCACACCGAGATACCAACCATTGAATCTGTACAGGTGACTGAGGAAACTGTCCTTCCGTTGATAGCTAACCTCAAACCTGAGAAGATACCGGGCCCTGACGGGTTACATCCACGGTTGCTGTCATCTATTGCGGACATTATTTCAAAACCGCTCGCGACACTCTTCAACATGTCCCTTTCATTCGCCAAACTCTCTAGAGATTGGAATGACGCTATAGCCAGTCCTACATTTAAGGACGGTCAGAGACAGATCGTGTCTAACTACCGGCCTGTCAGTCAAACTAGCAGTGCCGTTAAGTTGCTTGAAAAGATAATTCGGGTTAGGTTGCTAAGCCACATAGGTTCACGCAATCTGTTAGCTCCTGAGCAACACGGATTTCGTAACGAGCGTTCATGCTTGACTAACTTGCCTAATGCGAGGGAGGATTGAACAGCAGTCCTAGATAACGGTCTGTCTGTCGATGTGATATTCATAGATCTTAGCAAAGCATTTGACATGGTGTACCCCTAGACACCATCTTAGACCCTTTGCTCTTCCTTCTCCACTTTAATGAGTTACCACCGTTGCTTAGGTCGTCGACATTATTGTTTTGCGGATGATGTAAAAATCTGGAGTTAGATGGGCTCGAGAGTGGGGCTTAGAAATCAACCCCATCAGTGAATACTTTCAAGGAGAAGCCGAACCTTCACTGGAAAGCAATGTGTCAGGGTTAATACAGGTTCATCAACCAACTATCCTTATAACCGAAGACTGACCCATTATTGAGGACTGAGGATATCTTACTATGATTCGGCAATTTTTTTTCCTGTATTATCGTTAATATACATAGTTTCCTGCCTGGAAGTATTGGTGGTCCACTTCCAGTAGACACAGAAGCCCGTTAGGCGAAAGCTTCTTCTATTCCGTCCACAACCATTTGAACCATTTGACACTGAACTTGATTCGTGACTCCTTCAAGTAATAACGCCACCTATTCCTGGTTACTAGATTGGTTGTGATTGCCTAGTTCGCAGCTTATTTGTAGTTTTTTTTCTGTTCCAGATTTTCACATTACCACTCACAAGTTACTTTCAGAGTAGATTCCAGTTTACGAAGAACTTAACGGCCCAACCAACAATGATGGCGACGCCGCTAACCTTCTGGCGGCACATTACTCTCAAACATTTCAACCGGCTGACATCAACTTTATTGACGACAGTTTCATCTGCGATTCCACAGGACTTTCTGAAATGGACCTAAGCGCTGACTTGGTGTTCCGGAAACTGCAGCACTTAAGACTTGACACTTCTGGCCCGGATATGGTTCATCCTGCCATACTGAGGGAGGCAGCCTCAATCCTGGCAACGCCGCTTAGCGTGATGTTTTCACACTCGCTTAGCCGAGGCAAATTACCGGAAAATTGGAAGTTGGCTCACATCACACCGATTTTCAAAGGTGGTCGACGCAATCAACCTTCAAGTTATCGGCCGGTGGCTCTTCTGTCATTACCTTCAAAACTCATGGAGTCCCTGATATGCGACGGTTTAAACGACTATCTACTGTCCTTAAATTTCTTCTCACCCCAACAGCATGGTTTCAGGAAGGGTTACTCTTGTATAACCAACCTGCTGACTGCGGTGGACAGATGGACAAGTATCCTCGATTGCAAGGGAAAGGTTGATATCATCTACCAAGATTTCTCAAAAGCTTTTGATAAGGTTAACCACTTGTGTCTTATCAATAAGCTCAAACGACTAGGTATCAAACCACCTCTAATCGATTGGCTTACTTCATACCTAAAAAATCGACACTTTAAGGTTAGGGTTAATTTCACTTTATCTCAGGCTATGGAATGTCCTAGTGGGGTCCCCAAGGGCTCAGTACCAGAGCCTCTTCTCTTCTTGATCTACATAAATGATCTTCCTCAACAGGTAACGTCAGACATATTACTTTTGCCGACGACGTGAAACTTTGGAGAGAGATACGCAACGGAGACGATGTACATGCACTTCAGGAGGATCTGACTTGACTTCAAAGTTGAGCAGACGATAACGGACTTACCTTTAACATTTCAAAGTGTAAAGTAGTCCATCTGCGACATGTCGCAAACTACAGTTACAACCTAGGAAACTCCTCTCTAGTAGTATCCCAAGTCGAAAAAGATTTAGGAGTCCTGGTGCCCCATGACTTAAAGTCTTACGCTAACTGTGACAAAAATGCCTTCCGAGCAAACCTTGCACTGGTAACATTGAAGCGCATTTTTGGACAGTTTGACGGACGAACTTTCCACACAATCTTCAATAGTTTCATCCGTCCTCATTTAGAGTACGGAAACATAGTACTCCCCCCTCACTCCAAAAGGACAAGGTCACTTTGGAGCGTATCCAACGGCGAGCCACGAAATCAGTTCGAGGACTCAAATCTTAACCTAACGAAGAGCGCCTCCATTCACTGGACATTTACCCATTAAAGTATAGGCGTCTTAGAGGTGATTTATTAATGGCTTATAGTATTCTTAACACTTCTGGACATCCTCTTAAACACCTACTTAAGCTTAGTTCGAATAATAACCTAAGGGGTAACACCCAGAAACTGGAAACACAACATAGCAAGACGGAATGTAGACACAACTTCTACTCCTTAAGAGTTGTCAAAAGCTGGAACTCGCTGCCGGCCGAGCTAGTCCAAGCGACTTCTCAGGAGTCCTTCAAGAGGCAACTTGACCTATTCTTAAGGACCAAGGACAGCATCACATTATGATTTACCAATTTCTTTTCCTCTTTTACTGTTAACATACCTAGGTTCCTGCCTGGAGGATTTGCTGATCCCCTGCTACTAGACACGGAAGCCTGTTAAGCGAAAGCTTCTTCTATTCCGTCCACAACCATTTGAACCATTTTGAATATATGATGTTTTTATTGTCAGTCTGCTGCTTCAACCCTGTTTTTACATTTTTGTTTCAAGCCTTACTGCTTCGTGAATACACCGGTAGTATTTTAATTAGCTATACAACAGCGCTTGTTAATTAATATATCAGAGTGCACGTTAACGTACATCCTGATGTAATACATCCCAAGCTCCCAACTTCGGGGAAATCCCCCCATGTAATAATACATCCCTAAAGTCACGGGAAATTTCTGGGTAGAACGCGAAATTTCCCCAAAATTGTGAAAAATGTCGAGGTTTTATTAATAAATATAAGCCGACTTCCCCAAAGTGTAATAAGATTCTGGAGAAATATATGGGGTTTTCGTGCCATTTCCCCAAAGTTTACTATGGCGGCTTTCCCAGAATGTGTCATATTCCCCCAAAATTGGGAGCTTGGGACTGGATTAGTAGTGGACTTCGGAACTTGTAGGCGTAGCTGCAGGGCCCGAGGAACAACCACTTGAGAACTCTTAGACAAAGCCATGTAAATAGGTGTGGGCTACCTGGCTGTGGTCTCCATGATTATCGTAACTAGTGATTAAAGGCTCTAAGTGACGCTACTCAGGCTGGTTTGTAATGGCATGGGCGCGTCTACTCTTCATATCATTTAGAAACTAAATCTCAGATTTTCGTATACGCAGTTTTTCTGCTTCTGATAGTGTGGCTACCTTAACGGCCTAATGGAGTGTGTCGGGTTCCATGTCGTACATGACCAACTACTTCTCAGTACGCTTTTTGTAAAAGCCTCTATTCTATCCCTGTTTGGTGTTATGATATGTGTCTTTAACATATTAAATTTTCAAGATTCATTGCAAAAAAGATGTGCTAGAGATTTTTCTTTACCTGGGTCATACAGTTGTTGTGTTTCTGCAATGAAGTAATATTTTCAGTTAATTTGTTGCCCATCAAAATTATTCATCATTTTGCTTTATGCTTTGGTGAATTCAGCTTAAATTATAATGACTACTATGGCAGGATTAAAAAGTCACGATTCTATTCTTTCAAAGTTGGACACTTTCAAGCGTAAGAGAAAAGCTCGCCTGGAAGTTGAAGAACTCAATAAAGAAAGTCGTCAAGCTATCGAAATGGCAGTTAGTGCTTTAACAACTGACGACCCCAAACAATATCAATTGGAAGAAGGACAAGAGCGTTCTTTTATTGAGAAGTCGTCCCAAGTATGCTTATGGTCTTACTTAAATCATTCTAAAACTTTCATAGAATTCTGAAAGTGTTAAGAATTTAGTGGAAAAATTATTGACGTGGATTAACAACGAACTATCAGAACATCGAATTCTCGTGAGAGATATTCAAGAAGACTTATATGACGGTCAACTTCTGCAAAAGTTAGTTGAAAAACTAGCGAAGATAAAGCTAGATCATCCTGAGTTAACGCTGTCTGAAATTGGACAGCTTCAACGCTTGCGTGTAACTTTAACAATACTAACTAACTAACTGATTTTTAGGGTGTATTACAAACTGTCAACGAAGTACTTCATGTATCAGAAAGTTGGGCCAGTCAACGATGGACTGCCGAACGTATTCATCAGAAAGACTTGGTTGCTATTCTGCGCCTACTAGTTGCTATTGCTCGTCAATTTAAACCAGAAATGCGTTTTCAAGCAGGTATTTTTCTTACCGTCATAATCGCTCGCAAATTAAATGGTAAATTGGAGTATCGTTACGAAAGGGAATACATCACTGAAGTCACAGAAACATTGCCCGGTTAGTTGTTTCATATTACATTGTATTCATTAGCTATAGATGAAATTTCACTTTGTCAACTGTTAGCATCTTTTGAAATGAATATAGAATAATAATATGTTAGAGAATTTAATGATAATGATCTCATCTAATTGTTCAGAAAGTAACATAGAAGCAACTGCCAACATGTGCTCGAGTTACAATGGATATTTTGGTGAATCTTTAGAATAAATCACTTTTACCATATTGTGTTTCCAAAACAAACGATTTATTTAACGAATTTCCATTCCTCCTTATAAGCGAGATGTTAATGTGCAAGCTTTTGTCATGGATTATTCGAAAATTAAGGGCCGTGTTGTAAACGGAGTGTGAATGTTGAGAAATTCATTGTATAGTTCGATTTGTGCTCTCAGTAATGGTTACATCACTTAACTTTTAACTGTTAGGCCACAGGTTCAGAGCCTACTCCGTTTCTATTCAGGTAGTTCAGTAACATTATTAGCCCTCACCCAAATAGTGTTACCTGGTCCGAACATTTTAACGTCTAGCACTGTCACACACACATGGGTTATTCTAGCTTCCCGCCAGACCAGTTAATGTGTTCTGCTTGAGTCAAATTTTGCTCTTGTAAATTAATTGTTTATAGGGTTAGGGTTGTGTATGTGTATTACTTACCCTACTCATCGCATATCTTTGGTTTACTTTTGCTTGGTTATGAATATTGAGTCACATTTTTTTCAAATGGAGTTGGCTCACTCGCCTTCTCCGCCTTACCCCCCACTTTCCATTCTGAACGACTGTCTTCGACTAATATAAGTTTATTAATAAATTACTGTTTTACACTTCAAGCTGGCAGTCCTTTTGACGCCATATCAGAACATCATATGGTTTTGCAAGCAGTTCTTACTTTTATCAATACACATTTGGGACAAGTTGGCCTTCATGTTAATGATCTCTCCAAAGATGTAAGTTTTTTGCGTAAATTACTGCTCATATCTTTTCGTATTTTAATTCATTTCATTGAAATAGTATCAGTTTGGGTGACAATCACAGAGGAGTCAGTTCAACTAATATAGTGTATAAAATATTAACCTCATTAATAGTTCAAAGTTCAACTAGGGCTCGTGAAAAGCCAGTCTGAGAACACCGGGCTGGTTTCAGACATGAACGTAGATGTATAGACCAAATATCCACTCCTCAGGAGATTGTCGAAAACAGACATACTTTCCGACGTCCTACTATAGTTGTATTCCTTGACCATATGGCAGCATTCGACTCTGTTGACCGTGAGGTTTTATGGTAGTGTCTGTCATTAAAAGATGTATCAATGAAGTACATTAATCTTGTACTGGTTCTTAAGTTGGACACTACTGGCCGAGTCATTGCTAATGGCGAACTGTCATCGGAACTAATTACTTCAAATGGTGTTCGTCTGAGTTGTCCGCTTTTCCCATTGTAATTTAACTTTGACATAGACATGCTTTTAGAGAGGATACTTTCATCGTCTGACTTTTCAGAGGTTTATCTTTTACCAGGAGATTCGCTTGTTGAATTAGAATACGGAGATAATATAATTCTGTTCGCAGAAGACACTGACAAAATGCAGTTTTCTGACCACCTTTGGGCAACAATCCCAGGATGTTAGGGGTCCCGTTCTCACTTTAAATGTAAAATGTTATTTCAGGATCGGCTTGTGTCATCACCCGAATAGTAGTTGGACGTATTGACTGCCCCACTTTTCTTGGAAGTCTCATCAGTACTGACGGTTTAATGTCTGACGAAATCTCGATACGGATTCAGGTGTAGGTGAAATATCCGTCTTCCAACTAAAGGGCGGGTTCACTGCGCAGCAGTTTGCTCCGTTATAGTTTGTGGATGTGAAACGTTGCCATTAAGAGTAGTGGATATTTGTGGGTCACTGGCATTTGGTTATAGGTGTTTACGAAGCATTGTTCGTGTATTTCGCTTCGCAACCACGGAGTAAGCAATGTGCTGTGCTAATGCGGTATGGCAACTTGGATCGATGCATATATGTGCCTGGTCCTACTTTGTAACTGACCGATGTTATTGGTTCACACCAAAGTTTTTTTAAATACAGATAATACATGTATCTCCGGTCTAATAAATTTAACTTAGTGTATTGTCAGTCAGTCACTACAACGTAGGACCAGGCACATATATGCATCGGTCCAGATTGCCATACCTCATTAACACAACAAAGATGGACATCGGATTCATAAAAGTAGTTAATTCAGAGGTTACTTACTTACTTACGCCTGTTACTCCCAATAGAGCATAGGCCGCTGACCAGCATTCTCCAACCCACTCTGTTCTGGGCCTTCTTTTCTAGTTCCATCCAATTCTTGTTCATTTTTCTCATGTCTATCTCCATTTCCCGGCGTAATGTGTACTTTGGTCTTCCTCTTTTCCTTTCGCCTTGAGGATTCCATGTGAGGGCTTGTCTTGTGACGCAGTTGGGTGCTTTCCTCAATGTGTGTCCTATCCACTTCCAGCGCTTCTTCCTGATTTCTTCCTCCGCTGGGATCTGGTTTGTTCTCTCCCACAGTACGTTGTTGCTAATAGTGTCCGGCCAACGTATCCGAAGTATTTTGCGTAGACAACTGTTAATAAACACCTGTATTTTCTGAATGATGGCTTTCGTAGTTCTCCAGGTTTCTGCCCCATACAGTAGAACTGTTTTGGCATTTGTATTGAAACTTCTGACTTTGATGTTGTTTGACAGTTGTTTTGAGTTCCGGATGTTCTTCAGTTGTAAATATGCTGCTCTTGCTTTGCTGATCCGCGCCTTCACATCTGCATCAGATCCACCCTGTTCATCAATGATGCTGCCCAAATACGTAAAGGTTTTTACATCTTCCAAAACTCCGTCAATGGTGATTGGATTGGTGCATTCTGTGTTGTATCGGAGAATTCTGCTTTTCCCTTTGTGTATATTAAGACCTACTGCTGCTGAGGCTGCTGCCACACTGTTCGTCTTCTCCTGCATTTGTTGTTGCGTTTGGGATAGAAGGGCCAGATCATCTGCGAAGTCTAGATCATCCAACTGCACCTTAGATGTCCATTGTATCCCGTGTTTCCCTTCAGACGTTGACGTCTTCATGATCCAGTCGATCAGCAGGAGAAAGAGAAAGGGTAAGAGTAAGCAACCTTGCCTAACACCGGTCTTCACTTCGAACGACTTTGTCAACTGTCCTCCATGCACAATTTTGCAGTGTAATCCATCATATGAGTTCTGTATGATATTGACTATCTTCTGAGGTACGCCGTAGTGTCGAAGAAGTTTCCATAGTGTTGTTCTGTCCACGCTATCAAATGCCTTTTCGCAGTCGATGAAGTTGATGTAGAGTGATGAATTCCATTCAATTGATTGTTCCACAATGATCCGTAGAGTTGCGATTTGGTCTGTACACGATCTATCCTTACGGAATCCTGCCTGTTGGTCACGAAGTTGGGCGTCTGGAATGTTATCCGGTTCTGCTGCTTTGCCACTCTTGATTTGTCTGATGGCCATGCTGATTTCTTCAATTGTTGGTGGGTCAACATTGATTGGGAGGTCCGTGGGTGCTGCTTCGATGTTGGGTGGGCTCAGTGGAGCTGGTCGATTCAAGAGTTATTTGAAGTGTTCTACCCACCTGTTTTGTTGCTCTTCAATGTTGGTGATTACCTCGCCTTCTTTACTTTTCACTGGTCGTTCTGGTTTGCGGCGATTTCCAGAGAGTTTCTTTGTCGTGTCATACAATTGTCTCATGTTTCCTTCTCTTTCAGCCTTTTCCGCCGTCGTTGCTAAATCTTCCACATATTTACGTTTGTCGGTTCTGATGCTCCTCTTCACTTGCTTGTTTACTTCTGTGTATTCAGCTTGTGCCTTGGCTTTTTCTGCTCTTGTTCGACTGGTATTGATTGCTGCCTTCTTGTTCCTCCTTTCTTGAATCTTATCCAGTGTATCAACAGTGACCCATTCCTTGTGATGGTGCTTCTTGTGACCCAGGACCTCATGACATGTTGAAGTGATTGCCTCTTTGATCCCCTTCCAGTTGTTCTCCACAGTAGTTCCTTCTCCATTGAGTAGATCATGAAAGGTCTGGAACTTGTTGCTGAGGACTATCTTGAATTTGTTGAGTTTGTCAGTGTCCTGAAGAAAGGGCGTATTGAACATTTGTGATATTGTCCGCTCCGTTATCCAGTGCTTCTTGAGTTTCAATTTCATCTTGGCGACCAGCAAGTGATGATCTGATGCTATATCAGCTCCTCTCTTGGTTCTCACGTCCTCTATAGTCCTCCTGAATGTTTTGTTGATGCAAATATGGTCGATTTGGTTTTGCGTGGTGTGATCCGGTGAAGTCCATGTGGATTTGTGTATGCGTTTATGTGGGAATATGGTGCCGCCTATGACCAGTTTATTGAAGGCACATAGGTTTGCAAATCACTCACCATTTTGGTTCTTTTCTCCCAATCCTTGTCGTCCCATGATGTCTTCATATCTAGTGTTGTCCGTTCCGACCTTGGCATTGAAATCTCGCATGAGAATTGTCAGGTCCTTTGTTGGGCACTTCTCGACTATTGACTGCAGCCTATTGTAGAATTGATCTTTAGCGTCTTCATTGTAGTCGTTGGTAGGCGCATAGCATTGGATGATGTTCATTGAAATACCCTCTTTCTTTGTTTTGAAGGAGGCTTTGATGACCCTTGGTCCATGAGATTCCCATCCTATAAGCGCATTTTGTGCTTGTTTGGACAGCATCAATGCAACTCCTTGTGTATGTGGTGCATTTTCTTCTTCATGGCCGGAGTATAACAAGAGCTCTCCTGTAGTTAGTCGTTGTTGTCCAACATGTGTCCAATGTGTTTCACTGATCCCAAGTACCTCTAGGTTGTATCTTCTTATTTCTGCAGCAATTTGGAAGGCTCTCCCGGTGTCCCACATTGTACGAACATTCCATGTACCTAAATAAATGGTCGCTCTGGTTGTCAGAAGGGGCATCAGCCTCGTAACTTCCGAAGGAATCCGGCTTTCATCATGAGGCGTCATAATTCTTCTAAATGAAGACCTTCTGACTCTCAGGGCAGAGTTTAAAAGGTTTGAATAATTTTTCTGGTTAGCGTTTTTTTAGCGAGTTAGTTTTCTACGGGATGGGGACGCTAACCCCATGCCCAACCCTCCTCCTTTATCCGGGCTTGGGACCGGCAGTAGCCCCCGGAGGGACTCCAGGCGGAGTTTAATTCAGAGGTGGTAATATATAAAAGAAAGATTGCATTAAGGATATAGTACAGGAAGAAAGAATTAGTTCGTAGAAAGAAAGATATGAAGCGATTATAATCTCTTAGTTTAAGGGAACACGGAGAGTGTATACACCGACGCCATTGTGATCGATTCTGAGCCATGTCACCAAGAGTCTCCAACCATCGGTTACGATAGTCACGCGGACCCCAAACAAGTAGTCTGCATCCACCAACATGGCTCACACCAAAAGTTAGTGACTTCAAGCACTGATGCCACGTTTTGGTTTGGCCGCCTCTAACTTTCTTCAAACCATCTCAAACACCGGTTAGCATTGCACGTCTTGGTAATTGGTGTTCAAGCATACGTAACACGTGGCCCAACCATCTCAGTCGATGAAGATTCACAACCTCATCAACTGATTTACCATCATTCCCTAATACCCTGCGTCTAACCTCACTATTACTTACCCTGTGATCCCAGCAGACGCCAGCAATATTTCTAAGGCATCTGTGGTCAACTTCTAATAGCTTACGAGTGTTTTCTACTCTTAATGGCCATGTTTCGCTGCCGTAAATCGAAACAGAACGGACTGCCGCGCAGTATACCTGTCCTTTTATTGATAGACGGATATCTCGCCTTCACCATATGTGACGTAAGTTAGCAAAAGCAAAACGAGCTTTCCGAATCCGTGCTGAGATTTCGTCAGACACCAACCATTAGGACTGATCAGACTTCTAAGATAAGTAAAGTTGTCAACTCGTTCGACTACTTCACTCCCTATCCTTAGTTCAGGTGTTGATACAGACCAGTCCTGAAGCAGCAGCTTGCATTTAGAGGGAGAGAAGCGCATTCCAAACATTCTGGCATTGTTGATCAGTGCTATCAGAAGACTCTGCATCTTGTCAGCGTCTTCACCAAACAGGACTATGTCATCTGCGTATTCTAAGTCGATAAGTGGACCTCCTGGGTGGAGATCAATACCCGAGAACTCAGTCGACGAGAAAGTTATTTCCATCAGTAGATCTATGATGAAGTTAAACAAAAATGGGGAAAGTGGACAGCCTTGATGGACACCACTTGAGGTTGCAAAAGCAGATGACAGTTCGCCATAAGCTCTGACTCGACTGGTATTGTTCGAGTAAAGAGCCTTCACAAGGCTTATGTACTTCTGAGGTACGCCTTTCAATGATAGACACTGCCACAGAATCTCGCGGTCTACGGAGTCGAATGCTGCTTTTAAGTCAAGAAAGACCACCATTGTCGGATGCCGATAAGTATGCCTATGTTCTAGAACCTGACGAATGGTGAATATGTGGCCGATGCAGCCACGACCAGATCTGAAGCCAGCTTGGTTCTCTCGTGTTTGCAGTTCACGAGTCTTAGTTAGGCGTCTGATAATTATCGAGGCTAGTATTTTAGATACTATATTTGTTAAACTAATCCCTCTGTGGTTGTCACAGGATGATTTTGGCCCTTTCTTATATATTGGGACGATAAGTGATTGCGACCAGTCAGATGGGATAACGTCTGACTCCCAGATCTTAGCTAAAATATTAGTCGACCTAATCGCTAAAATTGGACCACCATCCTTAAAAACCTCGGGTCAATCCATCTGGACCAACTGCCCTTCCTCGTTTCAGATTAGCTATAGCCTTTTGAACTTCAGCTAGAGTTGGGGGATCTACTTCAATGTTCCATTCACACTGTCTGGGAATGGAGGGTATTTGTAGAGTAGCTGAAGGCCATTTGGACTGTTCTCTGAAATGTTCCGCCCATCGTTCTAAACGTCTGGGCTGGGAGCAGATGAGGGTGTCCTCTTTTTCCGAAATAGTTTGACCTACACTTGACTTATTAATTCCAGTTTCTTTCATTAGTCTTTAGAGCTGTCTTGTGTTCCCTATAGCCGCCACCTTTTCCATCTCTTGCTTTCGTTGCCCACCACTCCTCACGGTTGTTCCTTAGACTTTTGCTTAACCTAGATCTGATTTGTTGTCGCTCTTCATCGTGTTCAGAACCTGATGGGATGAGTTCGCGAGAATCCATCAGTGCAATAGACCTTGAAGAAATCCGTTGGTTCTTTGTAACCCTGTGGCGGGGGTGTTGTTTACGAAATTGAGAGGACGCAAAGCGAATGTCCGGCGCTTTAACCGGATTCCAAATCAATGGTGCACATGGGCTCCAGTATCCTGCGTGAACAAATGGCGTATGAACCAATCGTCGGTCACCGGCTTCCATGGGGCTGCATCTCCTTACGATGCTCCACTGCCTTGTGGGTTAGACCTTTAGGTCGAGGGCTCGGGGTGTGGTCCCCCAAGAAAACCACCTGCCTCGGTTTGGGCACCCGAGCAGTATCCCAGCCCTCACACAAATCGAATGATTTATGTGGTGCATATCTATTTGGTGCCTCCTTGTACCAATGTTTATGTTTAAATAAATAAATAACCATGTGGCTTAAATCACTGATAGATGTCACTGCTGTTTGTATAGCTTTCCAAGCAACATCTGGGTCAGCCTCGTTTTCAGAACTACCTATGTGTGACAGTTGTTCCTGGAACCTACTTTTGGTTTTCTCGTTACTCAATTCAGTCCTAATGGATCCTTTTGTGTGGCTTTTTTGCGTCCACTGAGACGCGAGCAGATGCGTGCCCGTAATAGGGCATGGTCGGAGTTCAAGCAGGTACTCCAGAATGAGCGACAATCTTCTACCGACCCTCCCCAACGATGACTGATGGAAATATGGTCTATTTGAGTCCATCATTGGTTTGGTGTAGGGGGTCGCCATGTTAGACGATGTCTATCCTTATGCCTAAAATTTGTGTTTGCTAAAAATAAACGATTGTCTGAGCACAGTTGCAGCAGACGATCGCCATTATCTGTTCGTTGTGTCGGAATACTAAAATACCCACCTAAATGCCTTTCTGTTTGGTTTAAACTACCTATCTGGGCATTAAAGTCACCTGCTACGAGTACTATGTCTGAACGTTTAGCTTTTTGAAGAAGTTCAGATAGCTTTCTGTAAAATTCATCTTTCACTTCATCTGAGCTTCAGTTGGTTGGAGCGTAGACAGAAACGACAAAAAGGCAACGATGTGTGTCGGGAGTGTATTGTACGGCCCTCTGGCTAGTTTTCGAATTACACCGTTTTGTAAAATCTATTTTCTTTAGTTTTATAATTAACTGATGGAAATGTTCCCATTTTATTCATTCTTCGATCATTAGTTTAGAGATGGTGTCTTACTTATCCTATTAATGGGTCTTATTGATGGCTATTTTGTACCATTTCATGCATATCATCCAACACCAACAACAGAAGAATTGTGTACATCAAATGTTAAACTAGCCTTTGAACTTATTCAAGCAGCTGGTATGGTTGAACCTCCAGCAAAACCTGAAGAAATTGTTGCAGGCGATAGCAGTGCTGTATTACGCGTGTTGTATGGCATCTACTCATATTGTGCACATATGGAGGATGAACAACGTCGGTATGAAATAAATAATATTCGAGAACAAGGTGAGATGGATGGATATTACGGTAATAACCAGGAACCTTCTGTACAACATGGTGTAATTAATTTATCGTAAAGTATACGTAACTGTGATATGTCTCTGCTGTTTTCTGTGATGCTAACATTTTAAAAATTACCGTGGAATAATATGCGTTACCACTGGAGTGATTTACTTTTAATAAATAACAGATTATCGTTTGATGTTCTTTAGTTACTTTCTTTTTAGAAACAATAAACAATAAAATGAATTTGTATGTAAGTACTCCATTATATTATTTCTCTCTCTCTCTCACACACACACTCCTTTGCGAATCTACGCTCTGCAGTCTGACATTTTTTACACTAATAAACGTTCTGATGTCAGTTTTGTAGTTATCTACATTATTTTTTTGCGGTTAATTGTTTTACTTTCCTAAATATTGATGTTAGTGTGAATTTCTAGATACGATAATAAAAGCAATAACTTTGAAAAGATTCATTTATGATTATGTTCCTTTTGGTTAACTGATAGTGTAGTTTATTATTTTTCTCCGCGCTATGTAGTTTTATTGTATATTGTATAAGTTTTCTGCGCCCGTGGGTTTTATCTCACTGAATGTATTCATTACTACCAAATAGAATGGGGTTTTGTTTTTCTAGACGTTTATTTCTTGCTCTTATTACAACGTTTATGTTATATACCATTTCATTGGACAAATATATAAAATAATCATGCCTACATGTATACAAACGGAATATCTTAAAGAGATCAACTTTAGACAACAGTCATCTGTTGACATCGAAAAAGATTTGTCTTATAAATAAAAAATTGAAAGTCCAACATCAGAGAGTGATTTGGATTTCACAATAAGTACTTCAACAACATTCTGTTCTTCAGCAGAAGTTTGGAAGCTTAGAAGATACTTTGATAGATGTTTTGTACAAGGCTTTAATCCAGCATCCGTAAAAATAGTTTGTTCACATACAAGTTCTATTCATAATCCAATTTATGATTTAAGTTACACTTAATATCTTTTTCGCACAACATATTTTCACGTGGGCTTCTGATTATTAATGCCTATTTCATCCTAGCTTGAAGCCCCGTAAGATTGTGCACTACATTCGCTTTTCGTGAAAACAATTAGGCAGCCATGTAAGTGATGCTCACCCCGAGGCAGCATGGAGTGATATTAGAAAAGCTGTGGAAACAGCAGTGGCATCTGCTTAACTTCGGAACTACTTCAGTGTTTCCAACATGCGCGGGTAGTGTTTTCACGATAATTTTGACCAGATTCTTGTAATGCAAACATAGTTTACCTTCCAAGAAAACACCCTACACTAGTAATGCAGTACAGATCGGAACACTGAACAGAACACTTGTTTTTTTCTACAATCACTTGTGAATTATCAAATAACATGATACAAAGAAATAATAACAACAGCAATAACAATAAGCTCAGCATTGAAATATACAATATGAGGAATTAACAAATAACAACAAAAAATACGTATATGAGACTCACCGAATAACAAAACTGTCATTTTTGGCTTTAAATATGCAGACTTTGTAGACAAATATGGTGCATGTTCCAAATGCGGCTGCTGCTCATCAACCAACTTTGTTCAAGCTAATTTCCTGTAAATCTGATCCCAATAAATAATAATATCATCCCGTTAATTTAATCCAGGCTAAATCTTATAGTAGAATTATCAATTCACTCAAGATGATTATTTAAAAGCCTGAACAACATCAGTTAGTTATAGATATAGTTTATTATTAAACATCAGCAAAATACAATCCACACGGAGAAACCAAATGAGTAGGACTGTTAAAAATCCATATATATTAATGAGTGTTAATCCAATATGGGTAAATTATTGATTAACTGTGTCTTACAACCAATGGGAGAATAGATTGAAGGTTGATGTGCAGACATGCGCACAATCAGACTCACACAGAAGTTTACCTAGCGGATTAAGTGTCTAAATAACAATGGGTAGACAAATAATACCATAGTTGAGTGGGCTTACTGAAACTATACGCAATCTACAAAGACACACTCGCATATGCGTGCACACTATCAACATGGAATCAGATCACATACTAACAACACCTGATCCAAAACATCTCCCTCTCAATCACTCACTAACTCACTCATCCATTCACTGTCTCACTTAATCACTCATCACCATGCATCATAGTAGTTCCATACTGTGAGACCATGTTGTCTGTGAATGGGACTAGGTAAGCCACTGTCACTGGTCGGTGTTGTGCATTGCACTAAGTGTTCAAGTGACACGGAACGCTGTGAGAATATGCACAGTGTCACCTAGTGGTTATGGTGTGACTCGAGTGACTCAACAGCTATGATGTGAGTGGGACTCAATCCGACGCCCATTAACACTGCAGCACAGATCCAATGCCTTATACCACTCAACCACAACAAAAGTGATAGTAAACGCACAAGACTAATTCATCAGTCTCAACATTTTTTTCACTTTAAACTAACTTTGTCCCACTCATATGCATCTTTGTGATATATCTATTTACACTCTTGTTTTTTCTGCTGACCCTGCTCACACTGATTTATCACCCGTCGTCTCTTGTTAAAGGATTCGAAGTCGCGGAATGTTATCCACGTTTAGTTGATGCTACCCTCGAAACTGCATGATGTAACTTTTAAGGGTTGAGTACTGAACCAATTTCGACAACAGATTTCCATAGCTAGTACCTTAGAATAATTCCGCCTGTAGCTCTTCTAAAGTTACTGCCGGTGCCAAGCCCGGGAATAGGAGGGGGGTTGGGCATGGAGTTAGCGACCCCATCCCGTAGAAAACGAACTCACTAAAAAACGCTAACCGGAAAAATAATTCAAACCGTTTATCCTCTGCTCTGGGAGTTAGAAGGTTTTCATTTAGAAGAGTTATGACGCCTCATAGTGAAAGCCGAGCTCCTTCGGAAGCCACGAGGCCGATGCCCCTTCTAACAACCAGAGCAACAATTTTTATAGGTACATGGAACGTCCGAACAATGTGGGAGACCGGGAAGACCAGTCAAATTGCAACGGAAATGAGGAGATACAATTTGGCAGTACTGGGAATCAGCGAAACGTACTGGACCCAAGCTGGACAACAAAGGCTAAATACGGAAGAGATGCTGCTATACTCCGGCCACGAAGAAGAAAATGCTCCACACACTCAGGGAGTCGCTCTAATGCGGTCCAAAGTAGCACGAAATGCACTTGTAGGATGGGAAACTCACGGATCCAGAATCATCAAAGCATCATTCAAAGCAAAGAAGGAGGGGATCTTAATGAATATTATTCAATGTTATGCACCCACCAATGAGAACCAGGAGAGGTGCTGACATAGCTTCAGATCACCACCTAGTTGTAGACAATTTAAAATTGAAGCTAAAAAAGAACTGGACAAGTGGACAAACAGCACTACAAAGGTTCAATACAGCCTTCCTTCGAGATACTGACAAACTCAATGAATTCAAGATAGCTCTCAACAACAGGTTCCAAGCCTTACAAGATCTACTGAAAGAAGAAGAAACTAGTATGGAGGACAACTGGAAAGGCATCAAGGAAGCATTGACTTCAACGTGTCAAGAGGTTCTGGGTCTAAAGAAATACCATCATAAGGAATGGATCTCTATAGAAACATTGGACAAGATCAAAGAAAGGAAGAACAAGAAGGCAGCAATGAACAACAGCCGAACACGAGCAGAGAAAGTCCAAGCACAAGCTGAATACATGGAAGCAAACAAGCAAGTGAAGAAAAGCATTAGAGCCGACAAGAAGCAATACGTGGAAGAACTAGCAACGACGGCGAAGAACGCTGGCAGGGAAGGAAATATGAAACCATTTTACGATACAACGGAGAAACTAGCGGGGAAATACAGTAGACCAGAAAGATCGGTCAAGGACAAAGAAGGCAAGCCAATCACTGAAATTCAACAACAGCGGAACAGATGGGTAGAATACTTCGAGGAACTTCTGAATAAGCCGGCTTCAATGAATCCACCGGACATCGAAGCAGCATACACAGATATTCCTATAGATGTCAATCCACCAACGACGGAAGAATCAGAATGGCCACCAGAAAAATCAAAAGCTGGAAAGCAGCAGGACCCGACAACATATCAGCTGAAGCACTGAAATCAGACATCGAAGCAACCACAAGCATGCTTTACCTTCTATTCAAAAAGATTTGGGAGGAGGAACAAGTGCCGATGGACTGGAAAGAAGGACACCTCGTCAAGATTCCAAAGAAGAGAGATCTGAGCAAATGTGAAAACTACAGAGGCATTACACTACTGTCAATTCCAGGAAAAGTCTTCAACAGAGTGTTGCTGAACCGGATGAAGGATGCAGTAGACGCCCAACTTCGAGATCAACAAGCTGGATTCCGTAAGGATCGGTCGTGCACAGACCAAATTGCAACACTACTCATCATCGTCGAACAATCAGTTGAGTGGAACTCATCACTATACATCAACTTCATTGATTATGAAAAGGCTTTTGACAGTGTAGACAGGAGGATATTATGGGAACTTCTTCCACACTACGGAGTTCCTGAGAAGATTGTCAACATTATCCGGAACTCATACGACGGACTGCAGTGCAAAGTCGTGCATGATGGACAGATGACATGCATTCCAAGTAAGGACCGGAGTCAGATAAGGCTGTCAACTGTCTCCCTTCCTCTTTCTTCTGGTGGTCGACTGGATTATGAAGACCTCTATATCTGAGGGAAAACACGGCATACAATGCACAACTCAGGATTAATTAGATGATTTGGAATTTGCAGATGACCCAGCCCTCCTATCGCATACACACGAACAGATGCAGATAAAGACAGCCAGTGTAGCAGCAGTCTCTGCATCAGTAGGCCCCAGCATACACAAGGGGAAAACCAAGGTCCTCAAATTCAAAGCGGAGAACAGCAATCCAATCACTCTTGATGGCGAAACTCTGGAAGATGTAGAGTCCTTCACATACCTGGGAAGCATCATCGATGAACAAGGAGGATCAGATGCAGACGTAAAGACGAGGATTTGCAAAGCAATGGTCGCATTCCTACAATTGAAGAACATATGGGACTCAAAACAACTTTCAACCAATATCAAAGTGAGAATCTTCAATACCAACGTCAAGGCAGTTCTACTGTATGGAGCTGAAACTTGGAGAACTACAACAACCACAATCAAGAAAGTACAAGTATTTATAAATAGCTGTCTATGCAAGATACTCAACATCCATCGGCCGGATACCATCAGCAATAGCCTTCTGTGGGAGAGAACAAACCAGCTTCCAGCTGAAGAAGAAATTAGGAAAAGGCGATGGAAATGGATAGGACATACATTACGCAAATCGTCAAACTGCATCACGAGGCAAACCCTAACTTGGAATCCTGAAGGGAAGCGGAAAAGAGGAAGGCCAAAGAACACATTGCGTCGGATAATAGAAGCGGATATGAAAACGATGAATTACAACTGGACGAAGCTAGAAAGGATTGTTCAGGACAGGGTTGGATGGAGAATGCTGGTTAGCGGTCTATGCTCCTTCACGAGGAATAACAGGCGTAAGTAAGTAAGGACCTTAAAATATCGCGCCGTCTTTGTATACCGAGACGCGCATAGAGGATCTGAGTAGTTTCCGTTATTTGACCTCACCATATCAAGATAAAGCATCTGGATTCATGCTTAGAGTTTCTAAAAGCCCTTGTGCTACTCCACATTGTCTTGCTGTTGTAGGTATAGCATTAAGTCCTTGGGCAGAACTAGCTCTCTTAGACTGGATCCCAGTAGACAGTCGTCTGTGCGCTGTCCAACTAAACGGAACAATAAGGCTCGGAAAGATAGGGACACTCGTCGTTGCCTCTTCGTCATCTCTGCCTATTCTCCCACTGACTGACTGACTGCAGAAAGCTTTCTGGCCTCCTCCAAAAAGTTAGGCGCTGTGATGTACTAATAGTGGCTCGTGACTTTAATGCCCAATTAGCTGAACTAAAATAAATGGAGAGACACCTGGGTGGATGTTATGGTGTTACTGCACAGAGAACAGATAACGGCGACCGTCTGTTGCAGCTATGCTCAGATAACCACTTGTTTCTTGCAAATACTAACTTTAAACATAAGGAAAAACATCTTTTGACACGGCAACCCTCGAATTCATCCCAACGTTGGACCGAACTAAATCCCATCGCTATCAGCCATCGATGGAGGGGCTCAATAGAAGACTGACGCTTGCATTCACATGCTCTAGTGCGAGCACATATTTGTATGCGTCTTACTGGACGTAGGAAAGATGCTGCAAGAAAGCCTGTTAGGGTTCTACTTAGTGATAGTCAAGCTAAGAATATATTTCAGGAACAACCAGGAATACAATTAGGCAGCTATGTAAATGATGCTCACCCCGAGGCAGAGAGGAATGGCATCAGAAAAGCGGTGAAAACAGTGGTGGTATATGCTAGTAAGGTAAGCCATGTTTAGGGAGAAACACTGGATCTCAGCAGGATCTACCGCACTGATAGATGCTCGAAAACTCATCCCACCTGGCTCTGAACATGACAAAGAGCGGATTCAGCTTAAGCGCAGGCTGGTGATAAACCTACGCAATGATCGGGAACAGCATCCGTAAAAATATTTTGTACACATACATGTTCTATTCCCAATCCAATTCATGATTTAAGTTACAATAAATATTTTCTTCGCATAACATATTTTTACATGGGCTTCTGATTATTAATGCAACAGATGCATATTTCATCCTAGCTTGAAACTCCGTAAGGTTGTGCGATGCATTCGTTTTTCGTGATGTAAATCAGGAGTTTTGCGAGGAAATTATGACTGTTAAGCAACTATTTTACAATGTCTGGTACCTGAGTATACAAATCAGTAATCCAGAGATTACAACAACAGCCAGTAAGCAGCCAAACGAACGTACAACACAAAATAAGTGGTTAAAGCGAAAGCTACATAGTTAGGATATAAATGAGGCAAAAGTGAAACAACCAATGATAAGGCAGACTACACATAGTAAGAAGTAGTGTTTCAATAATAACGATGACTCATCGTCGTAGTCAAATGCAGCAAAGAACTTGACGCAAGTATGTCAGTCCAAGTTGTCATACCACATTAGCCCAGCGAGATAAAATTATCAAAACACATCCCATAGTCATAAAAGTAGTAACAGTATCAGTAGTAATGTGGTGTGTACTACAGATGTCGACAGATATAAGCAGTATGTATCAACAATCGAAAATGAAATACCCGGAGGCAGAAAGTTGAGATTAAAGAAAAGAAAACGAGAACAAACAATGATTGGTGTGGAAACGAAAGAACAATGAAGTCTGAGACGATAGACTGATATTTGCAAAAGGAACAGTCATTAATTGACATTATTGAAATTATATATTTACACTATGGTTCTATGTTGTTCTGTAATTTTGTGTTCAGATACATTCGATTATCCTCACTTGTGTTCTCGTTCATTACAATAGTAACTCCTATCAATATAAAGATATATATCAGTTAAAGGTGAAAGATTGAATGACAATGAGGTAGAAGATAAAAATTGTAAATACACCTTATGCACACACAAAATTAGGTTGAATAGGTAAAGAAGATGAAACAAATAATGTATTTGAGATTTAGAGAAAGTAACTCACTGATTGATTCTGAGTCATATCACTTAAAAATCATTTATCCCTCAAGTATCATACTACTGTATGAGTACATATATCGACTTAGCTTAGAATAGTTAATAAAGAGAGATCTAATTTCTTTTTAAGAGGATTATGTACATATAGAGCAAGAATAAACAATTGAACAGGATATACATGAGACATTAAAAAGAAGAATATATTTGTAAAATCTCAGCGAATGAATTTTAAGTAAATCCAACGTTTCGCCTGGCAATCTGGTCCAAGCTTTTTCAAGGAAAATATAATCAAACAACAAAATTATCGAATAATTTTGTTGTTTGATTATATTTTCCTTGAAAAAGCTTGGACCAGATTGCCAGGCGAAACGTTGGATTTACTTAAAATTCATTCGCTGAGATTTTACAAATATATTCTTCTTTTTAATGTCTCAAATTAACTCGGCGCCCAAATATTGTGAAACTATTCGTTCAAATTTAGACGAAAGTTCTTATTTAGGATATACATGAACTCATTTTATTTCATTTCATTCTCATCGACTACTTACAACTTGTAATACAAATATATGTATAATCGAATAGTAAAAAACATTAACATGAATAAGTAGAAAAATAAGACTAGTTTTTTTTCATCTGTTCATCGTAACACAAAATAATTCTGTTTGACGTTTATATTCAGTTAGTGAACGCTGTTGACTAACTAAGAATTGGATAACAGATGGAGATCTAAGAAGAGCTGACTTTTTAGCATCTAATACAGCATGAATCAATTTGCGATAGTTTGGTGATCCAGATTCTGGTCCTATAGAACCAGCTGAACTTGAAGATGATAAAGGACCAGAATTTGTTGAAGACTATAAAACAAAAATAAAAACATCAAACAAAATTATTTAAATCTTTTACTATAACCATATCTTTCATCTCATTACAATAATCATATGTCATATTTGATTAGCCGGAAAATATTATGACACTCCATGCGTAACAAGTAACTTTCTATCAAACTGAGATAATAGCACAACTTCCATTGTAAAAGTTGTGGTTTCTGTCAGGTTGAATACCTGTAGTGTTCGAACATCATCCACGCTAATAACGTAAAAAAAACCTACTCAGTAAGCCGCTGTCTCACCTTTTTTACACCTTAAATTCTGGTCTAGCAGGGATTTCGTGCACGATTATAAGGATATAGGTAACATACAATTCAACCAACCCAGTAGATGAAGTTCGGAAACCCTATTAGAATTGTATGCTTAACTTTGAAACTACTTCAGTGGTTCCAACATGCGCGGGTAGTGATTTCACGATAATTTTGACCAGATTCTTGTAATGCAAACATAGTTTACCTTCCAAGAAAACACCCTACACTAGTAATGCAGTACAGATCAAAACACTGAACAGCACACCTGTTTTTTTGTTTTTTACAAGCACTTGTGGGAAAAATGAATCAACTTGATGAAAATGAAATCGATAACAAGATTTCACCACCAAAGTTGCACAGACTTTTAACACAAGTGACGAAAACTACACACACACTCAACTTTACTGGCAACTGTCGACCTAACCACTGAGATAAACAAGTTGCAAGGGAGTATTCTGAGTTTGGATGTATAAGATATCCCCCAGATATTTTCGGATTACTATGTAGACCGTACGCAAGAATTAAATTTCTGTTTAACATGACTATATTATATTATCTGCATGATATCGGTTTTCCAGAAGTGTACCCACAACAAACGTCAATGAAGTTGGCAACGCTACAGAATTTCTAAAACATTGTGAAACAGTTGTCAAAATAATAATATGGACTATACTATTGTGTCATTAAAAAGACTATGAATGTGGTAAATAAACATTTCCGTTGAATCTGAATACAGTACATTTTTAATATAAAATGAATATTTAATTATTAATGAAAAAGTATTACGATAGTTGTGGTTATAGTTTTGATGAATCATTCCGGTTAAAAATGAGGGGAAATACTGAAAGAATTTATGTTGTTTAATAGAAGAAGATTGGTGAAGATTACAGATTGTTTCTAATCATAATATAATATTTAGTAAACCAGATAACACTACATCAATCATGATGAAAAGTTGATTTGCAGAGAAGTTGAAAAGATGTAAGAGTAAGGTGTATTTCTGAAGAGTATTGATATGATAGGGAAGGTCTTAATACGTTGTAGAGTTAAACACCTTCAAAATTGATTTACTATACTCGCCTATAGTATTGAATTATACTTATTTTTCTGGCAATACTTTGTACATCAACGTGTTATTTTATTTAAAAAAATATCTCTTCTAGTGGGCAGTTGTCTTGGTTTCTGATATCAGCTTATTGAAGAGCTACATCAATATTTCGGTCACAGGAGCATCTATCACCTGGGTACATTTCATTTACCATTCAGGATTTTACCTATGCACCACTCAAAATAAATTACTGAAACATAACAAGTAAAAGTCACCGTATTATTCTCGTGAACACAATCACCACATATGTTTATGAATAATAGTTTTAAAACAATTAGTCCTTTTGATAAATTTCGATAATGCAATGAGAGGATAAACTTCGTCTTCTCATTGTATTATCGAAATAATAATTTTAATAGGGATCCAAAAATGAAAATGGGGTTGCTTAGTACTGTAGGAAACTTTCGAAACAACAAAATGACTGAACTGACGCGCAACCCAGGACAGCAAGGCAACACTTTATATCAACGAAATTCGAAAGTGTGAAGTAAGCATAAAAGTAACTTTAAGGACATAGAACATTATGGTGCAAGAAAGCGCTATTAATGACAAATTATTAATGTGGAGCAAAAATAAAATACTTGCATTTGCGATGGGACCATCGGACATAAGCTTCTCAGTGCGGGCTTTAACAAGTTCATTAAATTCCTGGCGTTTGCGATTCGCCATCTCATCAGACGAAATCGATTTCCTGCCACGGACACCTGACGATTTTGTATGTGTTTTTATACTACTAGTGGAAGTTTTGGAATTCCTAGTTGAGGCAGCAACTCGTTGTAACTTTGAACCATTTTCAGACTCCGCTGTACTAGTTGATAAACATGAAGGGAATTCTACTCCAGTATTGGATAAATGAATGGAGGTAGTGGGATTCGGAAATGAAAAATCCTGAGGAATATTCATGCCTCCCAAATTATTGAAAGTATGGGATCCAGGATAAAATCCAGACTGTTGTAATGCAAAGCTGGCATAATACGCTCTGCTTGTGTCTGCAGAAGAGAAATATGGATTCGAACCATTGGGATTAGCAGTCAGGTTGAGTGGACGACTTATCTGTAAATAAGAAAGAACGAATTGTGTAATACAAACAATTTAGCTCGTCAATCAGATGGATGGTTTTCACAACAGCTGATATTAATCGCAAAACATGTTATTTCAGATTAGAGGTAAGAATTAAATGTGATTAGAATTTAAAGCTCTATAAATCTAGTAAATGAGGGTAGAACCGAAAGCATAACTTGATTACTTGGTTATTTAAACTACACAAATTCAAAAGCAAACCGATGGCACTAGAAATATGTATGATAATGTTGATCGTCTCAGAATCCCTCCTAGGTCTATAAAAGAATATGGTTAAGAGACATCATCCTTAAACTGAGACAGTATGACATTACCCTGGACATGAAAATTGCTGTAGCTAGCTTTAAATCACTTTAATATACCATTCCGATAAAGTCAACTGACTAACTTACACCTGTTACTGTTCGTAAAATAGCAAAGACCACCCATCAGGATTCTCAATCCAACTCTGTCCTGGGCAATTCCAAGTTAGCGCTTGCATCGTGATGCAGTTTAATGAATTCCGCAATGTAAGTCATATCCGCCCCTATCGTTTTTCTCCTAATTTCCTCTTCAAATAGAAGCTGGCTTGTTTTCTCCCACATTAGGCTGTTGCTGATGGTATCGGGCCAACGGACATTCAATATCTTGTACATAATATTGCTTATAAATACTTGTACATTTTTGATGACGGTTGTAGTAGTTCTCCACGTTTCAGCTCCTTACGATAGAACTGTCTTTACGTTCGTATTGAAGATTGTTTGGTCCGATGAGATCCATGTAGCTTTGTGTATCCCCTCGTGTGGAAATACTGTGTCTCCTATAACCAATTTTTGAATGCACATAGAGTTTTAAACATTTCCTCATTTTCGTTTCTCTCTCCTAGTCTATGTTGTCCCATGATACCTTCATATCCGGTAATGCCTATTCCGACTTTGGCGTTTAGATCTCCCATCAGAATGGTGAGGTCCTCTCTTGGGCACTTCGCTATGATTGATTGCTGATTCTCATGGAACTGATCTTTATTGTCGTCATTGCAATAATTGGTTGGTGCATAATATTGGATAGCATTCATTGTAATTCCCTCCTTTTTTGTTTTGAATGATGCTTTGATGATTCCGGATCCGTGAGATTCCCATTCTACAAGTGCATTTCGTGCTACTTTGGACCGCATTAGAGCGACTCCCTGAGTGTGTGGAGCATTTTCTTCTTCGTGGCCGGAGTATAGCAGCATCTCTTCCGTATTTAGCCTTTGTTGTCCAGCTTGGGTCCAGTACGTTTCGCTGATTCCCAGTACTGCCAAATTGTATCTCCTCATTTCCGTTGCAATTTGACTGGTCTTCCCGGTCTCCCACATTGTTCGGACGTTCCATGTACCTATAAAAATTGTTGCTCTGGTTGTTAGAAGGGGCATCGGCCTCGTGGCTTCCGAAGGAGCTCGGCTTTCACTATGAGGCGTCATAACTCTTATAAATGAAAACCTTCTAACTCCCAGAGCAGAGGATAAACGGTTTGAATTATTTTTCCGGTTAGTGTTTTTTAGTGAGTTCGTTTTCTACGGGATGGGGTCGATAACCTCATGCCCAATCCAAATGGTCTAACATATGTGTGCGTTAGCACAATCTTTCATTACCAAATCAACAATACGAGACGAAACTAACATGAATAGTAAGAGTCGAAGTAATACCAATGTGAATGATAATGAGAAAAACTAACATTGTACAGAATAGCTTATAAAGGTATGAATTCCAACAATAACAAGCACGAAATAATATTTACGGTCAAAATGTATGAATGGATGCACCTGCACGAAAACGACCGATTCTGAGTCATTTCAACCATCGTATCTAGTCACTGATCGCGGTTATCGCGTGGAAACAGATCAGTCCATCAGCTAATGACGATACGTAATATGTTCGGCAATCACCAGTTGTCCTTAAACATATACCTGCTCCACCCAATGTTCCTCAACGAAGTGAGCGACAGTTAGTCAAATATCTCAGACATATTAGTCGGTTAAGACATATAATTTCACCAAAAGTCTTGTCATCTGCTTAACTTTGGAATTACCCAATTAGTTGTTTTACAGTACAGGATTAGTGCTTCGAAGACACCTATGATCAAAGACATGCGTCCTACAGATGGCTCCTACTTTTATGAACCATGTTTGCCATTAAGTAATACAAAGCAAACTGTTACGCAGTATAGTCACCTTTTAATAGCCAGACGAAAAAACCGCTCATATCACAAAAAAACGTAAATTGGTAATAACTACGTGATCTTTCTGAATTCGAGAAATTTTACAAGCCCAGTCAATTCAGTCCCTAAAGGCAGTCTACGTGTTGAAAGACCAGCCTTAAGGAAAGCTGCTACAGTTAGGCATAACTTCTTGTTGTTTTTAGCTAAAGTGTCATTTGTAACGCGTAGTTTTCATTTGTGGAGCACACTTTACAGATAACCTGTTACTGGTTAGTGTCGATCTATTATGATGTAATTACAGTAGCTTTGTTATGTCAAATACTGCATATTGTAGAAATCACCATATACAAACCAAGTTACACGAATTCAAGTGCAAACATTTTCGTATTGAAGTCCTGCTCTACGATTTCGTTGCATCATCCTAGTGACCACCAATCCCTAGCCTTCTTAGATGACTTCAGAAACAACAATACCCTATAATTTCCTCATTAATCAAACCGGAATACAACAATTTATAAAAGGTTATACTTACAACACCTGGATTGAACTGTTGTGTGTACCCAGCCGCTGCAGCTGCAGCGGCAACAGCTGCTACAGCTGCAGGATGGAATAATGGAGGATAATTCGTAGGATTTTGACTGTTTTGATGATATGAACTGTTAATCTGATTGGTATTGGTCAGGTAACTACCACTAAAACTTGCTGATGGCAGTGACTGATGTAAGTTACGAGATTCTTCTAGAGTCATTCAAGAATCTAAAACGAGAGACGAAAAGTGAGCATATATTTATTGATAGTTATGAAGTCACATGTTTATTTTAAGAAGTAATTCTTCAATGACATTTAGGAAGGGTCAATAAGCTTTTAATATACTCTGAAAGAATACTAACAATCTATGGATGTAATGCACGGAAACCATGGGCTCCTTTAAGAGGGAAAAGGGTAGTCTGAAGCGAGGATTGTGAAAATTACCGACACAATAATAAGCCTATTTAGATCATAGCAGTTCCAGAATATATATATATATATATATATATATATATATATATAAACAATATTATACAGTATTAACTTCAAAACTTGAATCTATATGTCCTTTACTACAATATAGATTATGCGACATTATCACCTGTTAGACTATACAGATCCACGTATTCTAATCAGATATATATAATACTTCTCATTGAATATTTCCTTAGACAAAAGATTACTCATGAATCAAAAATAAATAACCTTGCATAGTTGCTTTCAAATTAATCCTTATCCCTTCTTTTTGGTGAACAATTACGTCCAAACGTCCATCATAATTTTGTTATATCGACGTAATATTACAGTTAAACGGGTGTGTAGGTGTATTTACGAGAAATGGAAATAAAATTAAAACGGATCACGGGATAATATACACCTAGCAAATCTATCAAATCAAAAATAATTACTTGTAATAGTTCTCGTAGTGTCTGTCATTTCCGCTTAGCTTTCATAGGTTAGTAGATTTATAACTGTCTGGTTCAAAAAAACACACAACGTCCTCACTTTCTAAAGGACAGAGGCAGGTAGAACTTCATACAAAGCACAGTCCGCTAAGCTTTCTAATAACGCAAAAATACAACTCTTCAAACAAAAACACCACGTACCTTACCGATTTTCGACCACATGTGTTTCAAAGAATTATTTACGTTTGTTGGGACCCCTAGTGGAGTATTAATTTATTTTAACTCATAGATATTGGTACAAGGAGGCACCAAATACATGCGCCACACAAATCTCATTTGATATGTGTGAGGGCTGTGATACTGCCTGGGTGCCCAAACCGAAGCAGACTAGTGGAGTATTAATGGTTTTAGACAAAGAGCCAGAGGTAAAGGTAGCAAATCGACTGATGTTGCCCCCAAATGCCCTGGTATGGCCGAGAGTGGGGAGAGTCCAGTTTCTCCAAATGCTATCACATGGCCACGCGTATACAGCCTCTGCCAGGGAAGTCCTACTCACTCCCTTCTCGTGGCGAGGGTGTTGTTTACGAAAGTGAGAGGACGAAAAGCAAATGTCCGGCGCTTTAACCGGATCTCAAACCAATGGTGTACATGGGCTCCAGTATCCTGCGAGAACAAATGGCGTATGAACCAATTTTTGGCCACCAGCTACCATGGGACCGCATCTCCTCACGATGCTCCACTGCCTTGTGCGTCAGATCTTTAGGTCAAAGGCTCGGGATGTGGCCCCCTAAGAAAACCACCTGCTTCGGTCTGGGCACTCGGGCAGTATCATAGCCTACACAAATATAATGATAATGAAAATGTGTGACGCATACATATTCGGCGCCCTCTTGTAACAATATTTATGTGTTCAAATAAAATATAAAATAAAATCGACTGATGTAGTATCAAACTTTCAATATCTCGACCATTTAAGACATCTGATTCACATTTACAGGTAGCCCCTACCACTACGTGTTATTTTAGTTGTTATAACAGGAAACACAAAACCCAAGCTGTCAAACTAAGATGAACTATCAATCCGTGGAGCCACAACTTCTAGAGTGGGCTGTGAGAAAGTGAAGATCTTCGGGTTAGAGTAGATGTACTGAATATTTGCTTACCCACATCGGCTACAGAGCGAAAGGTAAACAAGAGCAAGTGGATTAAAGACATACATTCAACTTTGCAAGAGTAGTTAAGTCTTCAACTTTCCTAATCCCTGAACTTGTTCATCTTCCAAGGGTTACTTAAAAGATGTGGTGTTTTCCTACAAAACCTCACTAATTGTCTATTAATATCCAAGAAATTTTATAACATTTTTAAGATGTATGACTGATTGGGCTTCAAAATAATGTGTACAGAAACTTCGATTGGCATCACTGAAGACAACATAAGTACTGTAATCCGAAACCCTAACAGGGAAGTTTAGGAGAAAAGATAGGTGAGCCGGAACTTACATCTAGTAGTGAAAGTGACCCACAACAAATGGCCACAGCACAAGGGTAGTCAAGACAGTCGGAAACCGAAACTGGAAGTCAACAGGATAAGACTTTGAATCCGTTACAGTACTGTGGCAAATCACGTCTGGCCAGAAGGTACTTTGTGTACTACTGGTGCATGCAAATTATTCCTGCCTCACTAACTTATTAGCGGCTCATGAAAGTTAGTGCTGTCTTAAAGACCAAAAGTTACCTATAGACATAGCCTACATTAACTTCAGCAAAGCTTTTGACAAAGTTCCTCACAACCTGCTGTTATATAAGTTAAGAAATGTTGGGGTTGGAGGCAACCTATTAATGTGGATAAAATACTTTCTAGTTAGCCATCAAAAAAGAGTACGGCTGAAATTGGAGTTGTCTTGCTGAGAAATGTGCTTAACGGAGTGCCTCAGGGTACAGTTTTGGGACGAATATTATTCCTCTCGTATGTAAATGACCTTCCCAGTATCCTATCATCACCGGTTTTGCTATATGCTGACGATGTCAAGATGTGAAGAGCAATAAAAAGTAAAGGTGAAAGCTTAGAGCTTCAGAATGACCTGAAGAAATTATCTGGACGGTCTCAAACTTGGCAGTTGCCGACAAATACTTCTAAGTGTATTGTGACGCATATTGGTCATTAAGGTACAGATACATGCATGATGAATAACATTGAGCTACCTGTTATCCAGACACAAAATAACTTAGGAGTCATCGTCAGCCAAGACTTAAAAACTACTGCACACTAGCATGCAATAGCCGCCGAAGGTTTTACAACCCTATGGGATTAGTACGTAGGGCCTTTAACCATATCGACAATGAAACTTTCCTGACTTTGTACACAGTATTCGTGCGTCCTAGACTTCAGTACTGCATACAAGCGGCTAGCCCCTGTTTAAAAAAAGACATTGAGCTTTTGGAAAAGGTTCAGAGAACAGTAACTAAGCTGATTCCCGGAATAGCGAAGCTTCCGTATCATTTTCGACTGGCTAAACTAAACCTATTCCCATCGTCATATCGAAGGACCAGAGGTGACTTGATTACAATCTTCAAATTACTTAAAGAGAAATTCGGATCTGATATAGCCCTAATTTTTCGTGACTTCCAAAATACAGAGTTTACGAGGACACTCCAAAAAAGTTCACAAGCCCAGAACAAATTACTTGAGCATCGACTTTCCCATTGAATCATCAACGAGTGGAATTCATTACCTCAACACGTGGTTGAAGCTTCATCTGTCGACACTTTCAAAAGAAAGTTGAACCAACTGAGACCACTACCAGGACTAACACAGGCCATCTAGCCTACTGTCCTTTCCAAACTGAAACCGAATGAGGAAGGCTGTAAAAGAGAACAAAAGAAAGAAGCATGGACTTATTTCAGTCACTTATATAATTGGGTAACTCATCCATATATACCCTGGACAGTCCCAAATACGAAGCATGACAATACCTGGATAGGCCAGGATATTCGACATTTACTAACACGGAAGAAATGTCAGAACGTTGCCATCAGCCTTGACACAGTAAGTACTATGGGACGAAATAAGTTTATAATTAAAATCTACGATGCTCAGTGAAAATATAAGGTTGGCGCAATCTGTAATCAAGCACTCTAAGAGACTATTTTCATGCACAAATCACAGAACAAGGATGCAGCATTGGATTCCCAACCCAATTAAGGAAGCGGGTCTAAAATCATAGAGGATAATCAGGAAAAAGCAGAGGCTATGGTAAACTATTTCGGGGCAGTTTTCACTCAGGAGCCTCTTCTGGGGGGGGAAGATAGACCCAAATACAAAGTCAACAAACTGCCTACTCACCGTGGACTTTGATCAAGACGAAGTACTTAAAGCGCTCAGCACTTTAGACACGGAAAAATCAACAGGACCGGATGAACTATATATCAAAGTCCTGAGACTAACTGCATAATATATTGCAGCTCCATTGACTATAATATACAATATTGTCACCTGATCAAGCTGAGTTACCTACGGACTGGAAGGAAGCAATTGTCACCCCGATACATAAAACAGGATCAAGACAACTTCCATCAAATTACAGACCTGACAGCTTCACCAATGTCGTGGTTCAAATACTGGAAAGATTAATCAAAAAGGCCATAATGACATTCATGGAAACCAACAATTTGGTAAACAGTGAACAACATGGTTAACCTTGTACAACGAATCTCCTTACAGCAAGAGAACATTACATAGACACCCTGAAAAATGGTAAACTAGATGTTGTTTACATAAACTTCAGCACAGTATTTGATAGGGTACCAACAAATAGACTACTATCAAAGCTGCAAAACATAGTCATTGCCCGACGTCTTAAATGGACCAATGATTTCCTGGCAGGTCGTAGACAGAGAGTAAGAACAAATTCCAAGTGCTCCACCTGGAAACCAATACTTAGTGGGGTACCGCAAGGTTCTGCTCTAGGTCCTATATTTTTTATATAGTATATAAATGAACTCTCAAGTATGGTTGAGTCCCCAATGCTACTTACTATACACTGCTGGTGTAAATATCTGGCGAGAAATAACAGATGCATGTGCACTTCAGACAGACTTTCATATTCTGATTAGCTGGTCTAAAAAGTTGCTGATGTCTATCAACATTGCCAAGTGTGTCTACATGCACTTTAGGAATACAAAGATAAATAGGTACAGCATAAGGGAAATGCCCGTATCCGTGATATGGTCTCACAAATATCTTGGGGTGACAGTGAGTCGTGATCTTAAGACCACGGCCAACTGCCGAGAGGTTTCATCTAAGAGGTTAAGAATCC